TTTTTTTTTTTTTTTTTTTTTTTTGAGACGGAGTTTCACTCACGTTACCCAGGCTGGAGTGCAATGGCGCAATCTCGGCTCATCGCAACCTCCGCCTCCTGGGTTCAGGCAATTCTCCTGCCTCAGCCTCCTGAGTAGCTGGGATTACAGGCACGCACCACCATGCCCAGCTAATTTTTTGTATTTTTAGTAGAGACGGGGTTTCACCATGTTGACCAGGATGGTCTCGATCTCTTGACCTTGTGATCCACCCGCCTCGGCCTCCCAAAGTGCTGGGATTACAGGCTTGAGCCACCGCACCCGGCCAAGAATGGCATAGATTTTTAAGCATTTACTCAGAAATAGTCTCATGTTGACTTGAACTAAGTTGTCTCTACCAGGAATGAGATAGGACTATTTTAACATTATATCAAGTAATCCTGAATTTTTCATTTTTATAATTATTAAACATATTTTCATTAACCTTTCCATTCCAAGAATTATCAGGCTTTTATAATGTGCCTGAAAATATACTGTATCTAAATTTATATTGATTACCTAACGTTAATTGTAAGAGTTAGTCCAGTCGTAGCAGCTCACACCTGTAATCTCGGAACTTTGGAAGTTAGAAGTGGGCAGATCACTTGAGGCCAGGAGTTCGAGACCAGCCTGGGCAACATGGTGAAACCCCATCTCTACTAACAATACAAAAATTAGCTGGGTGTGGTGGGACATGCCTGTAGTTCCAGCTACTCAGGAGCCCAAGGCACAGAATCACTTGAACCCAGGAAGTGGAGGTAGCAGTGAGCCAAGATAGCACCACTGCACTGCAGCCTGGGTGAGAGAGCAAGATTGCCTTAAAAAAAAAATTAAGAGTTAAAGAAAGTATGTTTTAAGCAATATCCCTCAGGAACTTCTGATTATAGCACACAATGCTTTCTAACTTGACTGAAGAAGAACATAGGGGCCGTATATGTAGAGTTTCAAGCACTCATCAATACCTCATGTTCTTATAAAGGTCCATATTTACTGTGCATACAGAGCAACTCTGCACATGAAATCCTTAACCTCTTCCCCCTAAGAAGAGTTAGGCTACCTCATAAGAACTCTTCAGTTAAGGTTGCTATCTGTATCAAGCAGCAGTAACAGCTATCTGTACGAATGTAATCCCAGTTCAAACACATTTGTACTCCCAAATTAAATATATACGATGCTGAAATTTATCTGGCTTCCTGATCTATTGGGTCACTTCAAAAGTGGAAATCATAAAGGTAGCTGCCTTTGGAAATGGTTTAAATGAGGTAAATTGAAGGTAATGTGCACTCTGTAACAAGCAAACTGAAGTGTTTAGTGTAAATGCAAAGCACAAAGATTTTAGTTTTAAAAGGTTGTATTTTAAAGTTCTCTCAGATTAAATAATAAAAACAATTACATAGTTTGAAACCCAAAAAGGAACTTGAAATTACCTATATATCCAGATAATTAGAGGGGTTTAGAAAACTAAAGCAGAGAGACGGTACATGAGTTGCAATCAGCAAGTTAGTGAGAAACTTCAATCTCCTGACTCCACAGCTTAGCACTCTTGCTTTTGAGACTGATCAGTACTGAAACATTACTTATTTCACAGAACATTCTCACCCCAAACAGCATAATCTAAGTTTGGCAAAAGGGGACCCTACCTAATTAGATCTGACATTTCAAACAGGACAGGGACAGAGCAGCAAAAAATCAAAAGCCAAAACAAACAAAATATATTAGTCAGCAGTATGGTATGGCTGAAGGGAGAGAAATGTGGGCTATTCAATTTACTTTCTTTGAACCAATCTAACAACTTGGTTTTTATAAAACCGTGAAGGTGCTCTCAACTACCACTCCCTTCTACCATGAGTTGTTGACTATACAAAAAAATTATATCATTTAGATACTAAACCTTCATATTAATGAATTAATACTTTAGATCTTTTAGATAGAAATTCAAATACTCATAAAACTTACTTGTGTTTGTCAAGTTCAGTGGCACATCTGACTTTACATATAACCTATAAAGAGAATGTAAAAAGAAAGTTTTGAAAACGTGTAATGTAGAATTCTTACATATGTTCTGATTTTGTGTTTTAAAGTGCTACAACTATAAATTATATATAGCAAGCAAAGTTCGAATGTTAATGGTTAAACTACCATAGACTAAAAGACAGGTTTCCACAGGCTTCAAACAATAAACCAGTAACTTTCTTTGTTATCAACATAAACTTACCTTTCTATCTTTAAAGATTTAAACAAAATTAATTCAGTTTAAACATTTATTGAACTTTTACTATGAGGCAAACACTGTGCTGAATGGCTTGCCGCCTATCCTAAACTTCATTATATTAGTCATGTTTTATTCTAAAATGGAACTTCTAGCTTAAATATGAATATGGTTGAGTGTTCTCCAAAGATTATTTTCTTCTATATGAAATGAAGTAGTAAAGGGAAATGAGGTACCAAAAGTGAACACAAAGATAATGAGCATTATGTCATATTTAGTAAACTTTCTTCTTCAACAAAGCCTTACAAAAGGCAGGTGTTCAGATACTTGTTGAATAAAGTTAGGCAGGTAAGTAAACAGAATCTGAAATAAAGATGGTATATTCTGAGAACATAGTATGAAGGGTCTCAAGTCCTTCTAGTGAGCTTGAACTTATTCTTTAGAAAATGGGAAGATAGTGAAGGTTTTTATACATCTGTTCCAAAATATGGAATTCCACTAATCTGACATTAATGTACAGTCTGCTACAGAGAACTACAAAATAAAAGTAGAAAGACCAGTTACAGGACTATTAAAGTAGGGTATAAACTTTGGGGACCTGGAAAGAAAGAAGAAAGTACATTATGAAGAAAAATAGTGTAGATACATGGTAACATACTGAATTCATTCAAACATTTGCCAAGTACCTGTCATACACCACACTCTATGAAAAGTGGCATGGATTCATAATCATGACCATGGTTTCTGCTCTCTAGGAGCTCAGAATATGGAAGACCAGATAAACCATCTATTTTGATACATTGTTATATGAATGCAAAATATGCTATCACAAAATCTAGGAAGAGAAAAAGACTGATTCACTCTAAGAAAGGGTATGTGGTAAAGAGAATAACTGTTCAGAGCCTCGGGGAGGACTTCTCATAACATGTGAGCCAACTTATGAAGAGTAAATTTGTATTAGGCAGGTGAATCATCAGGCAAAGACTGTAGATGTCTGGGCATCTACTCATAACTACTGTATAGCCATGTGTTGCTTAATGACAGAGATACGTTCTGAGAAATGCATTGTTACAAATGCACAATTTGTCAGTGTGCAAACATTACAGAGTATACATACATAAACCTAGATGGTATAGCCTACTATATACCTAGACCATATGGTAGATAGTCTATACTCCTAGGCTACAAACCTGTACAGCATGTTACTGCTGTACCAAATGCTATGTGCAAGTATAACATGATGGTAAGTATTTGTGTATCTAAACATAGAAAATATACAGTAAAAACATGGTATTAAAAATAAAAAATGGCGCACCTGTATAGGGCACTTAATATGAATGCAGCTTACAGGGCTGGAAGTTGCTCTGGGTGAGTCAATGAGTGAATGGTGAGTGAATGTGAAGTCCTAGGACATTACTGTATGCCACTGTAGACTTTAAAAACATACATTTATGTTACACTACATTTATTAAAAAAAAAACAAACTAAATTAACCTTAGCTTACTGTAGCTTTTTAACTTTACACACTTTTTAACTTTTTCAAATATGAAGAAATTCTTTCTTCATATCCTTATTCAAGAAGCTTTTTTTCCTATTGTAAAATGTTTTCATTTTTTACTTTTGAACTTTTCTTGAAATCTAAGACAATAAACACACATATTAGCCTAGGCCTACATAGGGTGAGGATCATCCATCACTGTCTTCTAACTCCACATATTGTGCCACTGCAAGGTGTTCAGAGGCAACAACATGCTTGAAGCTGTCACTGCCTATGATAACAATGTCTTCTTCTGGAATACTTCCTGAAGGACCTATGTGAGGCTATATTTCAGTTAACTTTTTTTTAATAAGTAGAAATGCATTCTAAAATAACAATAAATATATAAACCAGTAACATAATCATTTATTATCCAGAATTATATACTGTACATAACTGTATGTGCTATACTTTTATACCACTGGCAGCACACCTTTGTTTACACTAGCTTCACCGTAAACATGTGAGTAATGCATTGCGTTGTGATGTCACAATGGCTACGTCACTAGGTTATAGGAATTTTTCAGCTTCATTATAATCTTACGGGACCATTGTTGTATGTGTGGTGAGTCACTGACTGAAATACTGTTATGTGGTCCCTGACTGTGTTTTGGTAACAGTACTACCATCTACCAGAAGCTGGATGTGATGAAAAAGTCTAAAATAGTATACTATCAGTCTCTAATACTACTTATATTAAGTCTTAGATGCATCCATTTTCACCATCTGCACCATCACAGTGGATTATTACAACAGCCTTTTAATTGATTCCTCTAACTTCATTCTTAATTCTATCCACCTCTTCAGATGGTAACTGTTCATTTGACTACTTTTTAAAATTCCCCCTCCACACACGATTTATTTTTAATTTTCAAAACTGTGGCAAAATAGAACCTAAAACTTACCATTTTACCATTGTTTAGTGTATGGTTCAGTGGCAAGTACATTCACATTGTTGTACAACCATCACCTTTATCCATCTACAGAACCTTTTCATCTTCCCACAATCAAACTCTATACCAATTCATTAAACAATAACTCCCCATTCCCTCCTCCTCCAGGCTCTGGCAACCATAACTATACTTTCTGTCCTTATGAATTTGACTACTATATGTAACTCATATAAGTAGGTTCATACAATATTTGTCCTTTGGTGACTTTCATTTAGTATGTCTTCCAGGTAGCATTATGTCAGAATGTCCTTCTTTTTTAAGGCTGAATAATAGTCCATTGCATGTATACACCATATTTTGTTTATCCATTCATCCACCAATGAACACTTAGGTAGACCCTACTTTTGGCTATTGTAAATGCTGTTGCTGTGAACATCACTGTTCTATATGTGATTTTTCAAAAAATCATTTGAGAGCAAGTTGTATGCTACTCCTTTGCCCTAAGTAAGTCAATGTATACTTCTTTAAAAATGAAAATTCTCCTACATAACCACAGTATGATTACAGAAATAAAACTGAGTATGTATACTATCATGTAATTTGCAGACCTTATTCATATTTTTCCAATCATTCCAATAAACTCCTTTGTGGAAATAATATCCAGAATTATGCATTATGTACAGATTTAATGTGTATTTAGTTTCTTTTAATCTTCACTTCTTTGTCTTTCATTATATTCACAGTTTTCAAGAGTACAGACAAGTGATCTTATAGTGTTTCCTTATGATTAGATTTAGGTTACACATTTTGGTAGGATTACCACAGAAGTGATGATGTTGCATTCTCCTCAATGCATTATATCAGGAGGTTCATGATGTTGATTTGTTCCATTACTATGATGTTAACTTTACTCAATTGGGCTGGGTGCAGTGGCTCATGCCTCTAGTCCCAGCACTTTGGGAGGCCAAGGTGGGTGGATCACCTGAGGTCAGGAGTTTGAGACCAGCCTGGCCAACATGGAGAAACCCCGTCTCTACTAAATAAAAAAAATTATCCAGGAGTAGTGGTGCATGCCTGTTAATCCTAGCTACTCGGGAGGCTGAAGTAGGAGAATCGCTTGAACCCGGGTGGTGGAGGTTGCAGTGAGCCAAGATTCTGCCGTTGTACTCCAGCCTGGGCAACAAGAGCAAAACTCCATCTCAGAAACAAAACAAAACAAAACAAAAACTTTAATCAATTGGTTAAAGTGGTATCTATAGTGTTTTTACACCATTTACTGTTTTCCCACTGTAATTTTTAATAGAGAAGGGGTTTTTTTCATGTTGGTTGGGCTGGTCTCTAACTTCTGACCTCTGGTGATCTGCCCGCCTCTGCCTTACAGATGTGAGCTACCGCGCCCGGCCGGAACTTCTTTTAAAAAAGTAGATCTGACCAGCCAGCCACAGTGGCTCATCCCTGTAATCCCCGCACTTTGGGAGGCCCAGGCAGGCGGATCACGAGGTCAAGAGATTTGAGACCATCCTGCCAACATGGTGAAACTTTGTCTCTACTAAAAATACAAAAATTAGCTGGGCGTGGTGGTGTGTGCCTTAGTACCAGCTACTCGGGAGGCTGAGGCAGGAGAATTGCTTGAGCCAGGCAGTCTGAGGTTGCAGTGAGCCGAGATTGTGCCACTGCACTCCAGCCTAGAGACAGAGTGAGACTGCGTCTCAAAAAAAGAAAAAAGTACATCTGATTGATTACACTATTCCAGAAAAAGGTCCATACATTTTAATACAGAAAAGGTCTTTTATTGTCTAGCTCCACCTTCCCATCCTTCCTTTTAGCCCCACCTTCAAACTTACGGTTTGGTCATTCTGAATTATTTCATTTTACCTTTTATTGAAGGTGTCTCACTCTGTTTCCCAGGCTGTCGCGCACTGGCACGATCTTGGCTCACTGCAACATCTGCCCTCAAGGTTCAAGTGATTCTCCTGCCTCAGTGTCCCCAGTAGCTGGGATTACAGGTATGTGTCACCATGCCCCAGTTAATTTTTGTATTTTTAGTGGAGACGGGGTTTTACCACACTGGCCAGTCTGGTCTCAAACTCCTGACCTCAAATGATCTGCCCACTTCAGCCTCCCAAAGTGCTGGGATTATAGGCACGAGCCACTGCATCTGGCCTGGTTATTATGAATTATTTACAACTCTTCAAGTAAGTGGTTCAATTTCCTATCTCTGTGCCTTTGTACATATTTTTACTTTGCTTAGACTATGTTTTTGTGGCCAGATAACAAATTCCAGCTCATCTTTCCAGATATTACTAGAATGTCATTCTTTTTTCTTCTTCTTTGAGATTGAGTTTCGCTCTTGCTGCCCAG